CCGTCTCACTAGTCCTTGGCCCTGACATTATTCGATAGTCCGTAGTACATTCATTGACTTGACATCTCACGTATAAAAGGTTTCGACCTATGGTTCATATGGCTATGACTAGGCGTAATTTCACCACCTGTACAAGTTGAAAATGGCATGTCACTTGAGCACCATTATGGCAGCTAATGTATTCAAACGGGAAAGATTTCTTGAACCTAAGCCAATTATGAAAGTTAGGAACTTGGTAATAACCAGCAACAAAGCTCCAGGCTCCTCACAGAAGGAAACGGAATAAGTGAATTCATATTTATAAACTGTAATACTACAAATCCTAATTTTAAACGAAGATTATTGGAAATAACATAAGTATTTGAATATTCAGAAACCCATGTATAAATAGAGCTTGGAATAAACCTTGTCTCATCGCTAAACCTCATTGTCTAAAGATATATTCGAGATTCTTCAGGAGATATATACTCTTAATAACGGTCCCACATAATCCGCCTACGTACTTGAATGCGAAAAGAAGGGGGCTACGATGTTCGGTGTCGCTATTAAAGACGTAACGTTACCTGACTACATTTAAAATGGATAATCGAAGTTCTTCTGGACGAAGTATTTCCCCTTACGCCTGCAGCAGTCATCATGTCAAAGAGTTACAGATCAGAGAGCTCGATAAACATTTCATACGTAAGGTAAGACACGATTAACGAGATGGCAATCAAGAATACGGAAAAAGTACCTCAGCTAGACAAATGAGAAAAGACTGTAAGGTTTAACGTGTCTCTGAGTTAAAGCTGCTACACATTGTGGCAAGTTCGCATTAGTATTGGCGTCCGATAACTGTTTCTGCCAAGTGATGTCTTTTCAGTCGTGGCTCTTATAACATCACAATGAGAGCAAGGGAAATACAATCGCTGAGGAAATCGTTTAGATAACCTGCTAGATAAAATTAGACCAGCGGCACTGATTTCTCCGGACGACACGATCTGGAGGTCCTTAAAAAGTGAGAGGAAATCAACCGAGTTTCAAACGAACCTTACAACAATAAAATGATGAGAGGTAAATAATGGGTTAATACTTAACCCTTCGAAATGTCACTCAGTCAACATTCTGTCTCATTTGTCACAGAAAAACGTACATCCTCCGTGAAAATCCGCTCTCGATTGTTTTTTGAGGGAGTGATATCGGGCTTAAACCCATAGAGAACTTAGACACCAACTCAAAATACATCAGCGATGAAGTCATTTTCAACTCAACCCTCCAATCTATGCATAGAAAACGTGGTGTGATCGCCACAGATTTGTTCTTAACACATTAAAACGTACACACGATCATGCCTTAAAGTTCTCAATGTTGTTACGCCTCCTCCCTTCAAAAGCGATGTAAATCTGTTGGGACAAGTACAGAGATGGCAATTGTGTAGGCGATAGGGCTGAAACATAAATATTACGAAGGCAGACTCCAACACCTGTGATTATCATTTATGAGTTTTGGGAGAGTATGAGCTGACCTGTTAATGACATGTCATATTAAGTACACCTAGCCACTTCAACATGACAATTGCACTATAACATCATCACTCTACTCCTCACGACAGCATCCGTAAAATTTATCTTCATTGGGCGAAACCACAGGTTAGTCTCCAATCTTCGTTATTGAGGGTTGCCCTCATTTGGAATGCTTTCTCATTCGAAGTGACAACAGCCCCATCAGTGGATGGCTTTAAGACGAGATATGACAAACAGGTACTCATCTGTTGATTACCGTTTCCATCTTGGACCAGCTGTGTCTGATGCCCATCTCGTAAGCTATAACGGTTATCATGTCTACATATTAGTGACTAATCCCTATGTCTCTTGTTATCATCTCATTTTCTCCTCCTATTCTTTTAGTTCTGCTTTCTTGCAAAATATCAGTTGGTTAACTTGTTCAGTATTTTCGGAACAACCTTTAGCACACAAATTATAACCTTAATATTCATGCATTGCAATCAACCAACCTCCAGGATCAACACTATCGTTAGACAAACCTACGTTCTCAAACTACAAGATATACAAATCTCTGCGACAGTCCGGACTGTCAAGAGACTAAAAAGATGTAATAATTAGTCCGGTATATAAGGCGAGGAGTAGAGACGTAGTTAGTAACTATCGACCCGTTAGTCTAACCAGTGCAGTTGTAAAACTAATGGGATGGCTGTTGCAAACTATGTGGAAGGGCATAATCTTTTATCCGGGGAGCAACATTGTTTTCGGAAAGGCCTATCCTTCTTGACAAATCTGACCATTGAAAGTGAAGACTGAGCTACAGCAAAAGATCGAAATGTCTCTGTAGATTTCATTTTCGTAGACCTAAATAAAGCCTTTGACAAGATCTCTCGTACGGCTCTTAAATTAAAACTGAAAGGTTTAGGGATCCATTAAACGGTTATAGACTGGATAAGGGACTTCTCAATGATGGGAGACAGTGGGTAAATGGAGTAAATAGAGTTCACTCAGCGTTAGAACCTATTAAAAGTGGAGTTTCCTAAAGTTCAATCCTTGATCCTCTTCTTTCACTTTATGTAAATGAACTACCAACCGTAGCAAAGTCATCTGTTATACTCTTCTTCGATGACATAAATATTTGAAGACTCATACAAAGTATGTCAGATAGGATAATATTACAGGATTATCTCAATTCCTTGGTTGCATGGATGGGTGGGTATTCACTAGAAGTAAATTCTAACAAGAGTGTGGTTGTGCAACTAAATAAATATGATGATTCACATCACTGCAAAGTACGTGGAGTTATGTTATCCAAAGTGAAGAGCCAAAAAGATTAGAGTCATGATAAAAAGCGACCCCAAAACTGCGAGCAACTGCGAGAATGCTGCTGCAAAATGCTTTGGGGTATTATGTTATATTCGTATGTTAGGATAGCCTGTCGAACAGTCCCGCCGACCCGTCCTAACATATGGAAGGCAGACAATAGGGTGATCAATTCTGCAGCCTCGTCTGAAGCCTGGATAATTGGCTCGGAGGCCCCAGGAGAAGAGGCATGGACAAATTTCAGGCAGCTATACAATCATATAACTCAACTATTTATACACTGGAGAGCTCCAAACAAGAAGAAACACGGCCATCTCTGGACAGATCGGGATATTCGACGTTTACTGAGATAACAGAGAAAATGTTGGAATGTTGTAATCAGCCTTAGCACAATGCAACACTACAGATCGGTAAGAAACAAGTATATAATCAAAATCCGGGAACCTCAAAGGGAATATGAAATGTAGTTGGCACAATCTGCACTCAAGCAACCTAAGAGACCATTCTCGTGCATAAACTACAGAACAAGGATGCAGCATTGGATTCCCCACCTTATTGGGGATGTGAGTGAATCTGATTTATTAGCGGACGATCGAGAAAAAACGGAGTCTATGGTACACTATTTTTGGACAGCTTGCTCTCTGGAACCTCATATAGACGAACAGCTAAACCGAAATACAAAATCAAGCAAACTGTGTGCTCTTGCGAACTTTGATTGAGACGTTATACTTAAGGCTCTTAGCACCTTAGACATGGAAAGGTCGATTGGAATGTAGCTGTAAATAATTCCTCAAAATCAATAGCTTTCTAAGTGTTCGACATTGGATGCTGACCACATTGTTTTAAGTGAACTTGTTTAACTGAAGGCTTTCGGTCATGCATCCGTACCAGATCACGTTACGACCCAGCGTGGGACACAGCTCCTACGTTCACTAGCCAGATTAGAGCAAACGCTTCTCGATATATTGAAAACGCATCAAATATATCTTTCCGATCTCTTCGCATCTGACTTCTGATTTCGATTGGTTGGGGAACGCTTCCAATATAGAAGGTGTTACTGGTTGCTAGTTGCTAAACCACAGAACTAGTCGTATCTTCAGGTCGAATGAATTACACCACGAAATTCCGAGACATTGCACAATGCACTGCAGCCCCACTGACTGTGATATTCAATAAGTCACTTGACCAAAATGTCTAACCTACGGACTGGAAGGATGCAATCGTCACTCCAATACATGAAACAGGACCGAGACAAATTCCATCAAACTAATGACCTGTCAGCCTCACCAGTGTCATAGTTAAGATACTGGAAATAATAGTCAAAAAGACCATAATGACATTTGTGTAAACCAACAACTTGTTAAACAGCGAACGACATGCTTTCAGAAAAGGTTTATCTTGCACAACTAACCTCCTTATAGCAAGGGAGCACTAGACAAAGGTTCTAGACAACGGAAGATCAGTGGGTGTGGTCTACATAGACTTCAGCAAAGCGTTTGGCAAGGTGCCGACTAATAGCCTACTCTTGAAGCTAAAAAATCTTGGTATTGCCGGAACTCTCTTTAAATGGTTTAGGGATTTCCCAGTAAGTTGTCAACAGAAAGTAAGAGTAAATCCCGAGCACTTCACCTGAAGACCAGTACTCATTGTAGTACTTCAAGGTTCTATCCTATGTCATTTACCCTTTATACTGTATGCAAGTGATCTCCCAAGTTTAGCAGAATCCCCAGTGTTATTATACGCTGATGATGTAAAAATCTGGTGTGAAATAACAGGAGATGCAGATACATGCGCACTTCAGGCGGACTTAAATATTGTGATTAGCTGGTCTAAAGAGTTGCTGATGCCTATCAACGCGACAAAGTGTGTCTACATGCACTTTGGGGATACAAAGATAAATATGTACAGTATAGGAAAAGTGCCTGTATCCTTGGTTCGGTTTCACAAGGATCTTGAGGTGACGGTAAGCTATGATCTTAGGATCACGGCTCACTGCCGGGAGGTTGTAGCTAAGGAGTTTAGAACCCCGTGGGATTTAAGAGGGACATTCACCAAGTTAGATACTACCATATTCACTACAGTATACACAACCGTAGTGAGAACTAAGCTTGAGAACTCTGTCCTATCGCAGATTATCAGGTGATCTGATTTTGATGCATTGAATACTAAGAAATGATTTTGAACCTAATATATTCTCTCTTTTCTTCTCAATAGAGCGTGACATTTCAGAGGACATTGTAAGCGAATAGAAAAGCCGAGAACGGATAAAATACCAGTGACATACAGGTTTTTAAACCGAGTCATCAATTCTTGGAACCTGTTACCCGAAGCAGTGTGGTCCGCACATTTACTTGACACATTCAAGAGAAGAATGGACACTCACGGAAGCATACTAGAAAAGGAATGACACAGGCAGTCGGCCTTCTGTTATTACTACACAAATGTGAATCTGAACCAGTGACCTTGAAGACGTCCGCCGCCCAAGTGGGGTAACGACTTTAGCACCACACCTCCCACTTCTAGTTCCTGTTACAAGATTACAGTAATCTGAGGCTTGTGTTACTTCTACTTGTTGTTGACTGCTTTCCTTGATGAATGTAAGTCCGTTTTAGTCTCCTACTAGGTCGTCCACTCACGTTTCCTTTTCTAGCAATTGTCACCCACGCTTTGCATGCTCTATTAGTACACGAAGTACCTTCTGGCTAGACACGTACAACTACATCGATGGCAAGGCCTCGCCGGTGTCTCTACGGTAATTGTGTCAAGTATAGGATATCGTCGACTAGAAAATTCCTTAGTAAGTTTTTGGTTTCAAATAGCGTGTATGTAGTTGTAGAGTAGCTTATTCACAAGTAACTTTAAGCCGCTATGGATATTAGACAGCTGCAGGTTAAACTAAACCTCGCATTCCTCAAGAAGCCATTCAGTTCTAAGGAAGGTCATCCATGTCTTACTAATTTGTTAGTGCGCCCCCAAATGCCCTGGTACGGCCGAGAGTGGGGAGAGTCACCTCTCCCTCTCGAAATGCTCTCATATGGCCAGCGAATATATAGCCTCTGTCAGGGAAGTCCTACTCACTGCCTCCTCGTGGCGGGGGTGTTGTTTACGAAAGTGAGAGGACGAAAAGCGAATGTCTGGCGCTTTAACCGGGTTGGTGGACATGGAAAGTTCACCTAGGGGAGTTGGAAAACCCTGATTCCAAACCAGTGGTGCACATGGGCGTACGAATCAACCGTTGATCACCGGCTACCATGGGACTGCATCTCCTCACGATGCTCCACTGCCTTGTGGATCAGACATTCAGGTCAAAGACTCCGGATGTGGTCCCCTAAGAAAACCACCTGCTTCAGTCTGGGCACCTGGGCAGTATCTCAGCCCTCACACAAATCGAATGAGATTTGTGAGGCGCATATTTATCTGGTGCTTCCTTGTACCAATATCTATGTGTTTAAATAAATAATAATAAATTTGTTAGTGCAGACGATGGCTCATGTATCTGTAAGAGCATAAGCTATATGATCTTGATATATCTTGCTGTGTTTCAAGATGTTACTCGCCAATCACTGCTATTGAATAAGGTTATCGCCATCTAGATTCATAGATTGATTAGAATCACCCTGCTACTTTCCAGATAAGAATCTCAAGGAACAAACTACTTACAACCTCTGACCAGCAGTTCCCAATCTGTCTGTAAATAAAACCTCTATTGGTTTCAGCAAAACCATGTGCACCAGACTGTTTCCATAGTTAAATAACATCAGTGCCTTGAAGAGTTTAATTCTGCTGATGTAGTTGGACGTAGATATGCACTGCAAAGCAGTAGCCGCCTAAGGTTTTCGTGCGTTGTGGTTACTTCGCTGAGCATTCAAATGGTTTGACGAAGAGCTGTTTCGAGTCTTATATACAACCTACGAAAGACGACACTTAGAGCACTGCATTCAAGTAGCTGGTTCATTTCGTTTTAAGGATGCTTAGGCGTGTTCAGCCTGTGGGAACAAGATTAGTGAAGGGTCTACCTAAACTTCCTTGCGATGAGCATTTAAAACGCCTAAACCTTTCCTCTTATCGTATCGTAAGACGCAAGGAGACTTTATTTTGGCATTCCGTACCTTTAATTATTATTTGAGTGTTAATATGTCTCATCTTTTTACTCCGTCCAGCTCTCATAACCTTCGAAAGGTAGCAAGATGTTCAGAAACCTCGATCTAATAGGCTCCGAGTAGGGTTCCGTTTTTCCCATCGAGTATTCAGTGACTGGGACTCTTAATCCGAATAAATATCAGCCCCATCAGTGACCATTTTCAAGGAAAAACTGAGCCTTCACTACATAACAAACCGTATGGATTAAAACAGGTCCACCAACCTACCATTCTTATTACTGTAGAGTTAAGATAGGTGGTTCCGGTCCAGTCCAAGTTGTCTGGTTGGAAAAATCCGTAATAGATCCCAGTACCATTTGCCTTCAATGCAAATAGATTAACACAATGCGTGTGATCAGTCCACAAGGTCACTGACTGCTAAAGCTGATTGGACTTCGAACGATAGTCGTAAACAACGGTTAGAGTCTGTAGTTGGCATTGCTCAAAATCGATCTCTAACCCAGATTCATCCTCTTTCCCTGAGTTTTGTGTTTTAAAATATTTCCATACTTTTTATTTCATAAGTTAATCACGTACTCATTAGATACATCCAATATTTTCGCCCACCAATACCGTTATTATTACCACTACACTGGCTCTGTGTTGATAATTTCGTCTCTGTGCTGATGTAATGTAGTAACTTGAACCAGTACTTGTGTGCTAGGTTTTGTGTTGTGTATGTACTGACTGAGGTGATCTTAATATTCCTTCCCGTCATCGTGATATAAGGATACCATCATGCAATACTAAAGTAATACTATAGAGTTTAAGAAGTGTCTGAATAAATAAGCAGAACTCCAAGCGCCAATAAATGTTCCATGTGGTTTCGACAATCCAATTTCCCTAGGACAAACTTACCCATTCCTCCTCAAAAGATACCAAACTTCAAATACCTACTGAAACCACTAGGGTTTCTACAGTGTTGGTTTGAGTAAATACAGCATTGTAAAATGTTCTTAATCGCCCTCTAGATGAGTTCTTTACCACAAAATGACTGGTTTCTGAAAACTTGTAACAGAAATATCAAACTAGTTTTATTCAACAAACTAATAGTCCCTAATCCCTTTGTAGTATTTTATGTGGGTGAATTTGTAACCTTCTTTACTAAATCTGTAGATAATTTGCTTTGAGGTTTTTATTATCCGTTTTTCCTATGCAGGCACCAACTAATGAAAAACGACTACGATAACAATCTGTCATTGGCAACTGGAGGTTTCGATCATACTATCCGAATGTGGCAACCAAGCACTGGAAAATATATCCAAGGTTTTCAGCACAATGAATCACAGGTCTATTACTTAAATGTATTCGAAGCTTAAATCTCTAGGTAAACGCTCTTGAATTTTCCCGCGACGGACAGTACCTAGCAGCTGGTGGTTATGGTCGAGTTCGTATCTATGATGTCCAGGGTCCCGCAACACCCTTCGTTATGGTCTCAGATTTCACAAAGAATGTAAACACGGTTGGCTTTAATGACACAGGGAACTGGATGTTTGCAGGAGCTGAAGATCGTGTAGCCAAGATTATAGATTGGCGAGCCGGTGGAAATCTGTGGATAACACGTATTTATCAGGTAATCGTACGTTACTTAGTTGTCAAACTATTTATTAAAACGTCTGGAAGATGGTGGTGAGAAACGTGGACAGTTGTTATTCTGAACTTGAGCAGACTTAACATAACATTTAAAACGCAGCACTTTCCTAGTTCAATGGTTATCCTAAGGTTTTATCCTCCTTTCGTGTCCGCGTTTAGTGTGATTATCTCTCAACTGTTGTTCAGTTTTCCTTTCGTGTTGTTGAGTGTAACAACCTAGATCGACTCCATCTTGTGCAAGTTTCGACTTTGAGTTGTATTGATTTTTTCCTCAAAGCATTAATCCAATGGGTCAAAAAATATTGGTCAGTAATTGAATACTAAAACTTTGAAGTGGTTATTGTTATTACTACTATTATTAATGGCTTTATTATACTAACCTGTGAACGTGAAACGTGGTTGAACAAATAGGTATAAGTACGTGCTAGTCTTCACAGATTAAAATTTTATAGACATCTTGACTCACATTACTTTTAATCTTTTCACTTTTGTTGTCCCTTAATGCATACTTATTAACTTCAACTTGTAGCTTAGTAAAACGTGGCACAAATCCATGAAGTTACTGACAAGTGGACTGAGCCATGTTGGTAGGTGTAGACTACTTGGTTGGGATTCGCGAGATGATAGCAACCGATGGTTAGAGACCTTGAATGATATGACTCAAAATCGTTTGCAATGGAGAAGGTGCATCCACCCTTTGTGTTCTACCAAATTCTAATCTTCTGAATTCTCCATGTCTCTTTTGTTTCTCTTTCCAAATTTATTTCACTGGATTATACCCCTTGAATAACATATTCAAACCCTATTCTTTCGAATCACTGCTTATACTCTTACTAATTCTACCACTATGGGATTTGAATCGACAATTGTATTTCTGTGCTAATGTGGTATGGCAACTCGAACTGATGTACGTAAGTACGAAGTTTTATGATGTGACTGACTGACAATCTTTATCGTGGTTTGCTGGTATCCACTACTGAGAAGTTTTAGTATGGATGAAACAGCTATTTCGCACTCATTTCTCAATATTTCTGTTTCTTATATAAGGTCGCAATGAAAAATAAACTTAGTAAAGATTATGCAATTTAGATAGGCAATACAATCAGTGATCTATGATTGTCACCGTTGCTCCCAAATGCCCCGGTACGGCCGAGGGTGGGGGGAGTCAGCTCTCCCTCTCGAAATGCTCTTACATGGCCATGTGCATACAACCACTGTCAGGGAAATCCTACTCACTGTTTTCTTGTGGCGGTGTTGTTTATGAAATCGGGAGGACGAGAAGCAAATGTCTAGCGCCATAACTGGGTTGATGGGTGCGGAGGATCCACCTAAGGGAGTTGGAAAACCCTTATTCAAAACCAATAGTGCACATAGGCTTTAGGATCCTGAAGGAACAAATGGCGTATGAATCAATTATTGGTCACCGGTTACCATGGGACTACATCTCTTTACGTTGCTTCACTGCCTTTTAGATCAGATCTTCATGGTCGAAGACCGGGTGTGACCCTCTATTATGTCCCGATAAGAATAGTGAATGATATTTTGGGATCCATTTATGGACCAATACTGTGCATATATTTTTTATCGTATAATTGCTAAGTAACTAAACTATTCATATTCATGTCCCCCTTATTATGAGCTTTATTTTAACCCATAAACTATTGTTATACGATTTACCATTCATGAATTACACCCAGTCTATTGATTACTGTTCCCCTTATTCACCCACATTTGATTAAATCTTGTACAAATGTTATTTTTAATTTTATTGTCGGTTTGATTGGTATATAAATTCAGTATGTTTGAAATACAATAATTCATACCGCAGAGGCTGTTCTGGACTTAACTGGCTGGGCTAGGCAGAATGCATGACCAACAAGCACTCTAGACTGCTCGTACGGGTTTCTTGCGCCATTGGTTCGATCGATAATTCACTACTCTCTGATTGGAGATCTTGTCACGTTATGCATTAACAGGGCATCCAGGCGGCCACAAGTTATAACACCCTCTAAGAAAACAACCTTCTGTCTGGGCACCCGGGCTGTATCATAGCCCACACAAATCAAGTGACTTGTGTGGCGCATGTGTATTCGATGCCCCTTTGTACCAATATTTATGTGTTCAAATGAATAAATAAATGCCACCGGTATGAAGTTTATAAGCCATGGGTAGCTATAGAACGCTTTTAGTTTCCTATCAGGTATTTGTATACGTCTTCCGACTTGTCATAGGGATTATCCAAATAGTTTTTACGTAGACGTGCATTGGCTCTTTGTGTAAGCTTGATAAATTTAATTCCATTCTCAGGTTTTATATTCATTTGGACTTTAGAATTGTTGTACTTAAAATCGTTCAACCCTCACATATCGCTCTTTGTTTCTCAGTACTCTAATATTTGACGAACAATTGTGATTGCATAACGTCAGATATTATTACTATCAGTATTACTTTATTATATATTGGAAGCGATCTAAGTCATGTTAGCAATATTCGAAACCAGAACATCATATGTTCTTTTTTGTTCTTATGTAGACGTCCTCGAGCATTAATACAATGCTGCTTCATCGCAATCAACATGAAATTCTCATCGGAACAAGTAAAGGGGAAGTTATAGTTTGGGACCTTCGCAACAATGCAGCCAATTCTATATGCACTGATGGCCAAAATGAACCTATTCATAGTTTATCTATTGACCAGGAAGTAACTTCATTAGCTGCAGTTAACTCTGCTGGACAACTTATTGTTTGGTCTTTAACAGGTGATTCTGCTTGGAAACCTATCGAAAAAGTACGTTTATACTTAAGGTATATTCATTTAGATATGTATCTCTACATTTGGGTTTCAAGTTAATGCTATTCTTGATTATTATTAGAACTAAAGATAATTACAGCGACAATAAAGTAATCTGGTACATTAAGATTACTAGTCCAGTTATACTATTAATGATGAATGCAGGGTAACCGTCTCCCTTGGTTTACTGAAGATCAGATGTTTTTTCTATATTTTTATTGATATCCAGAGATATATCCATGTCTTATATTAGATAAATCTTCATATAATTTATGAAGAGTAACCATTTCTGTGCACTTTGAAATGTGTGGAGCTATGTGACATCCATAAAGCCAAATCAACTGTTTGATATTTTGTACAAATGCTATTGCTCTTATTTACTTCTTAACCATCTGATTAGCTGCACCTAAGCGCTCTAAAACAGCCTACCTATTTTGGAAAATCATTCGGAATATAATAGTTGGAAAATGCTTTGAAAGTCTTACTTTACTGTTATGGTTAATTTGAGGAGCGGGTAGAACAGGTTCAGCCAATGCATTCAGTTGTCAGAACATCAACCGCAGCTGCTAGCTTGATGTTCGGGATGGGCTTGCCTATTACGATGGCTCAACTGAGCTATATTGGCTGAAACACATGTTGTTTTAGGTCTTACCATATAAGCAAGGTCAGTTGAAGAACCGTAAGACTAAAGACAGTAACTTAAGGTCCGAGGGCGAAGTCTTACTGCTGACTTTAGGGATGTGACCAGCAATAAGGTGTTTACCCTAGACAATCATCTGCAGCGATATTACCTCACAATGGAAGGAAGGAATTGAAAAAGGTTGACCCTAAAAATGTCACGCCTCACCTTACACTGCGGACTTACGACTTCGGTGGTAATATTTCTTGAAGTGTAGATCTAATGCATCAAAAACTTCCCATAAAAAAGACTGTGCACGACCGGCCTCAAGCACTTGTCTCTTGGGCTCTACGGTCCTGCTGGCAAGTCGCTAGGACCACCACTAATTCAATTTCCTTCTCAGGTTCCTCAAAATATCTACTGCGTGGGCAACCGGGAAGTGACAACCGCCTTTACACCTCTAATGGCACCCGAGACCATCTTGCTGACGATCGATTCCCTCCGTCGCGGTGTATTAATTCTCCCATCCTTACCACTAACATCTCTCGTATATCTTTATCACCATGAGCCACCAATGCTAATTATTCGAGTTCACGAAATGTTATTCCTGGTCTGAAACCACGCTCTAAACAAAATGTTGGAGGTTTTAATGTTTGAACTCTGTATCATATAGGACAATAGGGTTCCTTAGCTAGTACTCTAGAATCTTGCGCCATCAATAAATGCTGTATCTCCAAAACGCGCATACAGGATCCAAGTACAGTCATTTTTTTGATCTCAACTTGTCAATATAAAGAATCAGCACGATTTACTCTTCGCGTATCTGTGAGGCCCCACTCGTTTGGCTGTATTATTAAGTTCAAGAGCAAAACAAGTCCTGTCAGACTGGACTCAAATAGGCAGTCGCTTGTGCGCTGTCTGACTAAATGGGACAGTAGAAACTCGAAAAGATAGGGACACACGCCATTGCTTTTAGAAGCTTTCTTAACTTATCTGAGTCGACTGGTATTATGAAACACATCTCAGTGAAGAAATCTACAAAGTTGATAGCTCGCCAGTTGGGAGTTTTCAAGCGCGATAAAATACTGGTCGATCAAACTGTCTCGTGCTATTGTCAATTACCTTAAGAATTAAAACTCATCAGGATTAGATGACCTTACATTCTTTAACGATAAAAGCGAATTTCTCGTCAAAATAAGGGGTTGAATTATTTGTCATATTTCATTTCCAGTGTTCATTCATCCTAGGACCGAGGCGATTCCCATATTCATCGTAAAAAATTGGCTACGTGAACTGTCCGACAGTAATTGCAGTCCAAGTGTACTTTCAAGTCCCTTTAAAATATTGGCTTCCATCATATTCAATAGGTTATGCAAAACTCAAACTCGCGAGTAACACACTATTCTGAGTTTAGATTGTATTGATCATGTTTTCACTTTTCACCAAATTCGTAGTGACACATTATGTAATAGTGAATACGTTTTTTATGTAGACCTTTGATTCGTTCAATAGGACTGTGTTCTGAAGCCATCTGTTGTAGAAAGATTGATCAGAAGCGTTTGTCAACATACTTTGCGCTTTTCAGTAAAATATCTTAAGGAGAATTATGACATACAGTCACTTGTTTATTGTTTCAACTTGACAGTGGGGTTGCAAAAAAAATTGCCAATTCTCACCCTACAATTTCTCTATCGATTTCGGCTTTATAAGAAAATGATGATGGGAAAGAAAGGCTTTTCTATCTTCAATTTCTGTAAGACACCTTCCTTATGTACATAACCTAGCTTAAATCACACATGGTCGGTCATGTCAATAAATATTTCTAAAATGCAAAGCAATTTCGAAAGACACTAAAGATGGTTTCTGCACTCACCTCATGTAAGTACTGGTGATGGCATAGCAGATGAAGTCAGTCTATGCATCATAATTACTAGTGGCTTAAGACACTCTCATGACATCAGTCTATCTGTAGTAAATCGGGTTTAAGGCAGCATCACTGAAAGCGATCCTTCTCCTATATCTCTTCGCCAACTTTGTGTTTGGTCGTCAGTATTTCGATAGAGACACCATTTGGTTGGTGGTAATTCGGTTGGTAAAGCAATCTTAGGGTGCTAGTTTCAATGACCCCAACATATCTTTCTTATGATCCCGCTACTTATATGTTGCATATCACTTGTCGGTGCTAGGAGTGGAAATGGAGGCAAAAAAGTAGTTGGTTAATAATATTATTTGGGATATTATCGTTTCGATAATATATGAACTTTTTTCTATGCCCTGAAATGCTAGAAGCACTTAGATCAAGTTTATTCTGCTAACAGCTTTTTGAGAAAGAAATTTAGCGATATCTCTTGATTAACATCGAGAATATGCATCAATAGGTGTTAGACTACGATACAATACCTTTCCTTGTTATGTTCACTATAACTTTATGCTTATTTGTTTTCCAACAGAATCGGCAGAAAATACACCCAACATACGTTCTAAAAGTTCAATTTTCACCAGATAGTACATTGATAGCTACTGGGGGAGGTGATGGGAAATTTAATCTTTTGAAGACAGCTGATTTTAGTTTAGTTACAACCCGACAGGGTAGTCCATCAGGTCATCACTGGGTTTGGGATTGCGCATTTTCGGCAGACTCTCGCTTTTTGCTCACTGCGACTTCCGATGGAGTTGCTCGCTTATGGAATTTGGAGACAGGTGAAGTACCCGTTGAATACAAAGGACATCAGAGAGCAATCACTTGTATGGCCTTCCGTGACCATTCTTTAAAGTCTATGTAGTTTTTTACTCAATGAAAACCAAATGAGTCGCATGAAAACAAATGCTTGGTCCTGTGCGTATCGTCTTTGCTATTTAATTGCTCCCTAAGACTAGATCAAAAAGAATGGTAATATTCACTTTTTTAAAGCTGTTATAGACATGAAGTTCTGAGCTATTTGGGAAAATGTCAGTTTGTTTTCTTAGCATGGTACAGCATATGCTAATGCTTGGAAAGTGCTGCTGTTTATAACACAAGACTTCCGAATTAGAGTACAATTTCGAACAATTTAATTTATGTGAATTCATAGAAAAATCAATCTTCAATGATTTCACAAGATTTATACTTTTTACAGTGACGTTCATACAATAAAATACATGTATTGTGTGAATCCGCATTTTCCTAAGTTATTTAGACCCACAAGTTGTAGTTATTACGCTTTCCGAAGTTTCTTTGTTTGTCGCGCAGGTTTTTGTAGTTAACAAAGAGATTCGTTCTTAAAGCATATCAACTGGACGTTTCCGTTCTGTTTGTTTTCTCAACATGATTTAAATGTATCTCTTTTTTACTGATATCAATAAAACTACCTTCACCTCTTTGCTCTTTTTTGTTTTTCTCCTGATTTGCTGACATACACCTTCAGCCAATATGTCTTAGGTTTCATTGAAATCAAGAACTGACCAATGATCTGAAGTTTAAGCGTTCGCATGTTACCTCCTTCGGGCATTAAAGTCACCTGCAACGAGTACTATGTCTGAGCGTTTAGCTTTATGAATTTCAGAGAGCTTTCTGTAAAAGTCGTCTCTCACTTCATCCGGGCTGCAGTCAGTGGGAGCGTAGGGAGAAAGGAAACGACGTGTATCCCTATCCTTCCAAGTTTTTGCAAAGCTGTTTAGCCGTACAGCACATAGGCGACTGTTAACGGGGATACATTCTAATAGTGTTTGTTCTGCCCTCATACTTGGCGCTATGTCTACACCTGCCAGTCCACGAGAACTAGCCATCGGGTCGCCAGATACACGGAGGCTATCCACATCGGCTTTCCATTTTGGCGAGATGAAGTCAAGCCTGTTGACCTATTTGACATAGGGTGCGTACGTTGATGGCTCCAATGTGCAGTTTGAAGCGAGGTTTTAGTATACCTGGGACAGTGCTTCGCGCACAAGAATCGTTGGCCATGGTGACACTTGGGAAGGAAGCCGAACGAGGAAGTTTAGTGTTGAAAGTCGATGTAGGAGGAATAATAGAAATTGAAGCAGGAGATTGATTATGAGTACAGTGATCTTGAGTGCTGTTAGAGGTATGAGGGCAGTTATCACTTCCCGGTTGCTCACACCGTGGAATGGTTCCTCTATAGCTGCCTGAAAGAGAAACTAGGTTAGAGTTGGTCTTAGTGACCTGGAAGCGTGACCGCAGTGCCCATGCGACAACTGCTTGAGGTCGGTCACACATGACCTTTCTGTGATTAATTTTTGTGTTAGCTCCGTACTTATTGAGACCTTACCACCGGAGACGGATAAGGCGAGGTGTGCATTTTTAGGGTCGACTTTCTCCAACCCCATCCATCCTTGTGTGAAGGTAGCATCGCTCTTATGCTGGTTGTCTGAAGGAAACACGTTACTGCCGTCACACCTCTGTACAGTCAGTAGTATGACTTCGCCTTCGGACCATGGGGTTTGCTGCTTTTAGTCTTACCGCTCTTCAATCGACCTGTCTGACATGGTAGGACCTTGAGGAACGATTGTTTTAGCCAGTATATCTCGAATGGTTCATCACGACAGGCAAGCCCGACCACCACGTCAAGGTAGCGACAACGGTCGGGAGTATTTGATCACAAGTGCCTTAAGAATATTGCTAACACCTGCTGAGATCACCGGGTAATAGTGAGGTTAGACGCAGGATATTAGGCGATGATGGTAAATCAGTTGTTGAGGTGGTAAGTCTCCATCGGCTGAGATGGTTGGGCCAAGTGTTACGTATGCCTGAGCACCATTGATTACCATGGCGCATAATGCTGACTAGAGTTGGAGACGGGGCAGCCAAACCGAAACTTGTTATCAGTCCACAAAGTCACCAACTTCTGGTGTGAGCCATGTTGGTAGATGCAGACTACTTGGTTGGAGGTCGGTGCGAATCTCGTAATGAGTTGTTGAAGACCCTGAGTGATATGGCTGAAAATGGATCACAATAATGTAGGTGTATAAACTCTTTGTCTTCCCTTAAACCGTGAGATTAAAATTGCATTATACCTTTATTTCTACGAACTAATTCTTTCCTTGTTCCTGTATTATATCCTTATATGCAATCTTTCTCTTATATATCACTACCATTAAACTAACAACTTTTATGAATTCGGTGTTCATCCCGTTGTGCTAATGAGGTGTAGCAACTTGAACCGATGTATATGTGTGCCTGGTCCTACGTTGCAGTTGATTAACTGATGACAAACAATAGATGCACAAGCGAAGACATTCGGTACAATTCAGTAAGCAGATACAGGTTTTCGTACTTGACTTTAAATTACTTTACTTCAAAATTCCCTTCGAATCAGTCAACAACTCCAAGACGTAAATTATAGAGTGCAATGGTTTGAGCTACAGAATTTTTTAAGCTATTTCCATAGGCTACCATAGTTGTGTTAAGGCTTTCAGCCTTCCTCAGTATCATTGCTAATACATTATTTTGTGTTATTTACTACTCAGATAGTTTTATTTGGCCGTGCTAATGTGTCGTAACAACTTGGAATAATGTACGCTTTTGCCAATGTGTACATTGATTATGAATGGCCACGAAAATAAACCAAGTTTCATTTACAGTCAGTCAGTCAACTACAACGTAGAACCAGGCACATATATACATCGATCCAAGTTGCCATAACCTCATTAACACAACAAAATGAATACCGAATTCATAGTAGTTAATTCAGTGGTGGTAATATATGAAAGATTGTATACAAGGAATTGTATAGTCTGGAAGAAAGAGAGAGTGGATAATACTGCTGACAAAAGACATGATTATCAACAGTACTGAACAACCCAAGCCACATAAAAAAAGAAATATGAATTTATTCGGTCAAAATAAGTTCATCCAAACTCCAGTCTTCAAAACTTCCATCAGGAAGAAAACGTCGAATAATGATAGGTATCTTGTTAGCCCTTAATTCCTTTTCAGCAATTTTCAAAGGATCTCGTTCACCATCCAGCTCGACCATAACAGGAGCAGACATTGATAATTGCAGGGCTCGTGCACCTAAAACTCTGGCACGCTCATATTTCGTAAGATATGGAGTGGTGACCCGTTTACTTTTCTCTACTGGGGCAGCCATATTTTGACCTGATAAGCGCGGCGCTTCATCAGCTGTTATGTATGTGACACCTTCTATAAAATAATAGGCAAAAGTGTAGTGACGCCTCTGTAAAATCTCGAGAAATGCATATTATGCGACTAATCTTAGTGTAAACTCTATCTGTATATACTAGTTTGAAGGTATCACATAAACTTTATTATTAGACAAAGGGCCTAATAACCATGAGTAAGTTGTGAGACATACATTATGTAGGAAGCAATTATGCTATGTAGATGTGATGTGCAAGCCCGTTACACAATAAAAATAATCAGGGTTCAGGAGAAACATAGTCTTTTTCCACAATATTGATAGACTTAGGAAAACCTAATACTGGTGTTTATTTATTTACTCAAACACACACATTGGTACAAGGATGCATCAAACAGATATGCGCCACATAATTCGTTCGATTTGTGTGAAGGCTGGGTGCCCAAACCGAAGCAGGTTTTTTTAGACCATTCTTTGACCTGAAGGTCTAATCCACAAGGCAGTGGAGCAATGTAACGAGATGCAGTCTCATGGTAGCCGGTGAACAACGATTAGTTCATAAGCCATTTGTTCCTTCAGGATCCTGGAACCCTTGTGCACTATTGGTTTGAAATCAGTTTTCTGACACCGTGTCCACCAATCCGGTTAGAGTGCCGGATATGTGATTTGAACATTTTCGAGTTATGGACACCTGTTCTATTACAGGCTTAGCTGACCACGATTGTGTAAAGGCCGTGCAAGATAGGTATTGTTAAACATGTAAATCTGTGGATAAATGAGCTGCATTGCTTGGATAGTCCATGGACTTTTTGTGGATTGTTTCTGATTACAAGAAAGAGGCAACGATATTGAAGACACAAGGTTATATGTCAAATTTGCCTCACCTCACATAAACGAAGCAAGAAAGGTAAGTAAGCAGGCCGTAAGGGAAGAGGAGAAATCGAAGTTAACAGTAACGAAAATAAAGAACTCTGGAAGAGTCTAAGAACAAACAGGATCGGAGAATGAAAAGTTGAGAACGACACTTAGTCAAAGACTTGAAGAAATATTGATGATGAATGTTATTGCAACCGGTTTTGCACGTAACCTAACAACTTGAACTATTACTACTACTAGGTGAAGCCCTATTAAGATGTTCGTAATTATCGAGATCGATCATGGAATGACACCATTTCCTAATCTATTTTATAGATTGTATTAGACAAAGTGTACAGCAACTCTAGATAACTGATCAGTAAAATGTCAAAACTAACAAATGGGAAGCTAAGGAGATGAAGAAACGTCATGATATTCCTGGGTCGCGTTATGACAAAAGTATATGGGACTTACCAGGTTTTGTATCTAAATCCTCTTCTGGCACCTCGTCCAGAGGCTCTTCATCTGATTCAAAGTCATCTGCACCACCGTACTCATCACACATTTTATGGACAGCTGACTACCTAAAAAAAGTCAACAGAAAGTATTTGAATTCGTTTAAACATGAACTTTTCGACGTAACTATTTGTACATTGAAAACCTATATTTTGACGCTGCCGTTTTCCAAAACACACCTTTTCGATGTTACCTAAGTTTTATCATCATTGATTTTTTCCTACAATCGTACCTTTTGTTCCATGAACTCTAATCATGCTTATATTATAATCTGAGCTGGTCATTTATTGTCAAATTAAACCCGATAACGGATGGGACAACTCACTACTGCTATCAGTGTAATTGCAGCCCACTTTTAAAATGTACTGTGTATCAGACCCAAAGAGCGAAATTAATCCTTTACAAACAAACAAGGGACTTATACAGATAGATCCGGATCAGAATATTAAGAGCAGTGGTAATGAATAATTCAAAGGATCTGTACATAAATTTCTCTGAGAAAATATTTTTTGAGAAAAAAGGCCAGCACCTAAATGTAGCTTAAGTGGGAATTTAGATCCTTGTTTTCGAATGCGTATATACAACTAAAGCGCATGAATAAGTCTCAAATTACGATATGTTATAACTGGAAGGAAAAACTAACAGTGGTGAGATTATAATTTATGGAGGACCTTTGGACGACGCTATAATCACCCTGAGAATGTACACCTTGTAATTCGGACTGAATGACGGTTATAAAGCAGTTGGAGGAATTATAATATACAATTGATGGTTAAGGTTAGAAACTAGATGAAATCCAGCCAGATGGTTGAATGAAGTTCGCGCCAAAATAAAAGACCTGCTATTTTGTATCTAACTGGTTCTTCCATAAATTGTAGTCTCGCCGAATGAACTCAACAGAACTAGTAGTGACAATGTCACTGACTCAAGGTTACGGTAACGCTGAAACTTGATTTTAGCGAAGATTTATGAATGTGACAGTGGTATTTTTCCTCGTTGACTAAATTCTATTGTTTTGATCGTTATTAACGTATCAAGACTACTGTTTTTATACTTTGATTGAATTTCTTTCAGTTAAAGTATTCTATTAGAGTATCATCTTTGGTATCCTAAATAGTTTTATCGTCGGTACTCCAGAGTACCTTTGTTTTTCTATTGTGTCTGTTAGTACTTTGGTCCTAACTATTTATAGTTTTTTTTCTACTTGTAGTCAACACTCACTTTCGCATCCTAAAATGACTGGAAGATGCAACAAAAGCATTTGCCACCGCCCAGGATGTCGATATTCTGTTGATAGCGGCATGCAGTGCGATGAGTGCAAAGGTTGGTACCACGATGTTTGCACGAATCTAACACCTGCAGCTTTCAAGCGGTTCAGTAAAAATGGGTGCGTATGGCTATGTCAACAGTGCTGTTTGGATGCAAATAGCCTGTCAACCGAGGCCATCTGAATAGTAAATGCCGCAAAAAAGTGTCTCGGCAAGCGCGGTCGGGATACATCAGTCAGAACTCAATCTGTCGACACGCAGATTGACACAAGGCAGGCCCAAGTGAGTCCAAAAACTGCCGACCCACACTCTACTAAGGACGAAGAACATCCTCCAAAGAGGACTGCTGCAACCAGAAACTCGCGCAAAAAAGTCTCTTCTGTCCCTCGTATCAAAAATGGTACCCAGAAGGGAAATTCGGGGAGCCGAAACCGCAAGGCTCGATCGGTTTCCAGCGCGAAAGATGACCCAATCTCCCAAGTCGTCCTGACTCTTCCGGAATCCCACAGTACGCCTGACGCGAATGTGGTTACCACTCCAAAGAACGTTGGCGATTGGGTACGGGTCGTAAGAAAAAAACGCCAAAATGACGTAAAAGGAAATCGTACCCCCACTAAAAGGGTCGACAAGACGAGGTCTGATCACAGCGACAGATCAGTCATTCTCCATAGAGTCAAGAAGAGTGACAACTTAGAACCGAAAGCTCGTTTTGAGCATGACATTGTGTTGATAAAACAACTACTCAACCAAGTTATGCCCAAAAACATCCCCGGAGTCACCTTGCTAAAGGTGTATAGACTAGAAAATCTAGCGCATCTGAAACCAAATCAGTCCAGACTACTCAAAGTCGTTTTCAAATCCCCAGATTATAATATTGAATAAAGCCATTAATAATAATAATAATAATAATAATAAACGAACGCGACTTAATCTTAGATAATGGACACAAATTAAAGGGTTCAGGAGTTTTCTCCGTAAGGACTTACCGTTGGTGGACCGTGTAAAAAGACGGGAAGCCGAAAAAGAACTACAGCTCAGATTAGACGCTGGCGAAAAAGACCTGAAAATTGTAAATTTTCGGGTTGTGAGGCTTTGACAGAGGATGATACAGAAGCCACTCTGGGTGAAGTACGAGGCCACCTAAATAGGCTTCGGATCTGTTATACCAATGCCCGTGGCTTACTCAATAAGCTACCATAACTAGGTGTACAGATTGACTCAACTAGGCCAGACATAATCGCAGTCACAGAAACATGGCTGACGCCGTCTATAGATAGTAGGGAACTTGATTTCGAGGGTTTTACATTAGTAAGGGCCGATAGAATACAAACGCGTAAAGGAGGGGGAGTAGCTCTATTCATTAGGAATGCTATTCCATTCACCATTATCGACAGTGTATCCCATGAGAGTGGGACGTATGAATTAGTTTGCTGCCGTCTAAACTGCAGGGGACAAGAGTTGCTGCTTAGTTTGATCTATCGCAGTCCAAGCTGTGAGGTAAACGAGATCCTGCTAAGCAATCTCTACACTTTATCACGAAGTGATCGATGTCTAATCCTAGGGGACTTTAATGCACCCATGGTGGACTGGGGAAATCTGCGGGCTGAATCGTCAGCAAATTCCTTCGAACAGGAACTAGTTGATGCGGTAATCACATGTGCCCTAGTGCAACGCGTGAAGGAAGCAACTAGGTACGACCCGGGTTTTGCATCATCCCTACTAGATCTTATATTGACTCATTATGAGGATGACGTTGCAAACCTGGATTACATGCCATCCCTAGGCAAAAGTGATCATGCAGTTTTAAACTTTGACTTCCATATAACTGTCGATCACGAGCACGCCTCAGCTCAATCCAGACCTAACGTCTGGAAAGCCAACATACCAGACATCATGAAATCAGCATCATTAGTAGATTGGAAAATAGACCCAGAGTCATCAGTCGAAACGGCTTGGGACGTATTCCGGAATTTATACTTAAAGGTTACCACTCCCCACATCCCTTGGACTACACCTAAGAGACCGAGAAACTCCCAACCATGGTTCAGTAGGGAGGTTCGCATCCTTCTCCGTAAAAAAAAGAAAAATGTGGGATAGATTTAGGTTACTGGGGACTGCCGAGGCAAAATCTCAGTATCAAAAGGCTCGAAATACCTGTGCCTCGACCCTCCGTAAAGCCAGAAAGCTGTACGAAGAGAAAATCGTTAGGGAATCCATAGAATGCCCTAAACGCTTGTATTCGTATATAAACCAAAGGACAAAGAGAAGAAATGTTTCTTTACTATGGGGAGACAGCACTGCCACATCACTAGTGGAGGACGACCTTGGCAAAGCTCAAGTATCCTCTAAATACTTTAGCAATGTATACACCATAGAAACATCCTTCTCACCAGTCCATGAAAATCCACCCACACAAGCACTGGACAGCGTGACCATTTAAGAACTCGATGTCCTTGGTCTGCTAGTTAAGCTTGACATAGGTAAATCCACTGGACCCGATGAACTGCATCCTAGGTTACTAAAGAAATTAGCTAACTTTGTTGCGAACCCTTTAAGTGTATGTTTTAATCTATCCGTAACCCAGGGTCGTCTACCAAAAGACTGGAAGAACGCCATAGTAAGTCCAGTCTTCAAAACAGGTACAAAACATAAGCCTGAGAATTACCGACCAATTAGCCTAACTAGTGTGGTTGTTAAAATCTTAGAAAAGATTATTCGGGAGGAACTGATAAAGTATCTCGATGAAAACCGGATCCTCTCCGAAAAGCAGCATGGTTTTAGAACAGGTTATTCTTGTCTCACTAGCTTATCTGTCACTCTTGAAAGCTGGTGCGCTCTTAAGGACCAAAAGTTACTTGTAGACGTAGCCTACATCGACCTCAGCAAAGCTTTTGACAAAGTTCCGCACAACCAGCTGTTATATAAGCTAAGGAATGTCGAGAATGGAGGCAATCTATTGATGTGGATAAAAGACTTCCTAGTTGGGCGTCAACAAAGAGTAAGGGTGAACTCCAAGTTGTCTAGCTGGGAAACTGTGCTTAGTAGAGTCCCCCAGGATACAGTTTTGGGGCCAGTGTTATTCCTCCTGTACGTAAATGATCTCCCTCGTCTACTATCGTCATCGGTCTTACTCTATGCTGATGATGTCAAGATATGGAGAGCGATACAAAGCAAGAGCGATAGCTTAGAACTTCAAAATGACCTGGATGGATTATATGAATGGTCCCAAACCTGGCAATTGCCGATAAACACTTCCAAGTGTATTGTGATGCATGTTGGCCACCAGGGTAGAGATACATACACGATGAATAACACTGAGTTACCTATTGTCCAGGCACACAATGACTTAGGCGTCATCGTTAGTCAAGACTTAAAGACTACTGCACATTTCCGTGCAATAGCCGCCAAAGGTTTTAGGACTTTATGGTCCATACGCAGGGCTTTTAGGCATCTTGACGCTAAAACGTTTCTGACCCCGCTCAAGTCCAAATGTAAGAAAATATTTAATACTGTTGTAAATGGAAACAGTTTAACTTCACCAAATGTTGTTGTGAGTCACTCGCTCGACCCACATGACACTGTTATAAAGAAAGTTAACAGTAAGAAGCCGGTAGCTAACCGGCAGGATCTGACGTCACGGTCGAAGGCCGTGAACACGACTTTTATGGAAGTTAAACAGGTGCCTAGTGTAATCATCTGGAACTTGGCAGAATCGAAAGACACCGATCCCGCTAAGAGACATGCCCACGACCTGCAGTTAGTGGGATCTCTCATCAGAAATATACTGCCCGATGAGGTCCCAGGGGTACATATCTCGAAAGTTATCAGACTTGGTAAGTATGTTGGAGGCGAAACCCAACAGAGAAGGATCCTTAAATAAGTACTCGGTAATTTTGAGGAAAGGGACGTATTACTAAATAAAGCACGCAAAACTCGAGACTCAAACATTCGTATTCGACCTGACTGGCCACTTGAGGATCAGATCAAGTGGAAGAATGCCCTAACAGAGTTAAAAACTCGAAAGCTAAACGGTGAAGCGAACCTTACGATTAAGGGTTTTCGGGTAGTCAGGTCTTGGAAGCCAATGCTTCCGAGACCTGTGTGGGTAGAACGTATGTCTCCAAAAACACTTTAAATGCGTGTTACACGAATGCCCGTAGTCTTCGGAATAAGATGTCTGAGCTAAGTTTGATGGTAGACGACTTAAATCCGGATATAATTGTTATCACCGAAATTTGGCTCACTGTAGATATAGACTGTTCTCCAGTCATTTCATGCTACATCTGTATCAGAAGTGATAGAGTTAGAAGTCGCAAGGGAGGAGGCATAATATTATATGTTAGGGACCACTTCTGCATAAACTCGATCATATCGGAGGCGCATGTAAGCGGTACGTGTGAGGTAGTATGTTGTACAACTAGGTCTAGAAACGGGTTAGTGACGATAGGAGGAATATATCGTAGTCCGTGTTGTCACGCTGACGACTTTATCCTAAGACACGTCTGTTCTTGGAGTAAAGCAGAATCTTATCTCGTCGTTGGAGACTTCAATGCACCCATATAAACTGGATAGAGCTCACAGCTCCAGGTGGGGGTTTCGATAGCTTCATTCTGTCATCAATTATTCAATGTGCACTTGTACAATGTATCGTTAAGCCGACGCATATAGACTTGGAACATAATCCGTCATTGATAGACCTTGTCCTCGCACACCACTGTGAAAATATCGTCGACATTCAACACCTTCCCCCACTGGTGAATAGTGACCATGTCGTACTTTCCTTTAAGTTCCGAATACATGGTATAGAATTTGTATCTGCTCCACACCGTCCCAATATCTAGAGAGCTAATATTCCGGCAATCAGGGACTATGCTATCTCAATTGACTGGTCGGTCGATGCTGATGGATCGATTGATAATGCATGGAATAGGTTTAAGTCTACGTTCGAATCCGTAACTCAACCGTTTATCCCATGGTCAGCACGTAGGCTATCATGTTGCCCTTCATGGATTAATAAGGAAACCCGGAAGCTGTTGAAGCGTAGGAAACACTTCTGGGACTTGTTCTTGTCAACTGGTCAGGCATCATTTAGGTGCGAATATAAAAAATCCGGAATATATTTAAAAAGACCATAGCTAAATCCCGCACGGCTTACGAACGAAAGTTGGCATACGATAGCCATACCTGTCCGAAGCGACTGTTTTCGTACGTTAAAAGGCGGACGAAACGTAGTGATGGTATCCCCTCATTACTGTTAAGCGATAATTCAGCTTTATTGGCTGAATCTGATCTAGCGAAAGCGGAGACATTTGCTAACTATTTCAGTGAAGTCTACTCTACGTGTAGTGTTACAACTACTTGTCTCGTTGACAATAAGATACCAGCCATAGGACCTTTGCACGTGACAGAGGATATTGTTCTTCCACTGATAACTAACCTAAAACCTTGTAAGATACCGGGCTCCGATGGGTTACACCCACGTTTACTGTCGTCGCTTGCGGACATTATCTCAAGACCGCTCACGATGCTCTTCAACATGTCCCTTTCACAGGCTCAACTACCTAGAGACTGGCAAGACGCCATAGTTAGTCCTATATTTAAGGATGGTCAGAGACGGATCGTATCTAACTACCGGCCTGTTAGCCTGACCAGTATAGTAGTTAAGTTACTTGAAAAATTAATTCGGGCTAAGCTACTAAGTCACATAGATTCGTACAATCTGTTAACTCCTGAGCAACATGGGTTTCGTAACAAGCATTCATGCTTGACTAACTTACTCATTGCGAGAGAGGATTGGATAGCTGCCCTAGACAACGGCCAGTCTGTCGACGTGATATTCATAGATTTTAGCAAAGCATTTGATAAGGTTTCACACTTAGGTCTTATGCAAAAGCTCTCGAGCTTTGGAATAACAGGTGCTATACAGGAATGGATAGGAAGCTTCTTATGTGACCGCAGACAGAGAGTAAGGGTCAATGGAACGCTATCCGAATGGAAACCGGTCAAAAGTGGTGTACCCCAAGACACCATCTTAGGCCCTCTACTTTTCCTTCTGCATATTAATGAACTACCTTTATTACTTAAATCGTCGACGTTATTGTTTGCGGATGATGTTAAAATCTGGAGAACAATAAGAAATGAGACTGATCGTTGTTATCTACAAGCAGATTTAGACGAATTAGTTAGGTGGGCTCATGATTGGGGCCTGGAAGTTAATTCCAGGAAGAGCGTGTTCATGCACATCGGGCACGATATTAGTTACCATTATACCATTAATGGTACATCTCTGCCACGCGTTCATGAGCACAGAGACTTAGGAGTAATTATAAGTCACGACTTAAAATGCAATGCGGTTGCTTCCAAAGGCTTTCGCGCACTATGGTCGCTTCGCAGAGCATTTAAATGCTTTGACGAGGATATGTTTCGAATTTTATATCCCACCTATGTAAGGCAACACTTAGAATACTGTATCCAAGCAACTAGCCCTTGTCTGATAAAGGATACTAAATCGCTTGAGCGTGTCCAGCGTGTAGGGACAAAATTAGTAAAGGGTCTTTCTAAACTCTCTTACGATGAGCGTTTAAATCGTCTAAATCTTTTCCCCTTATCTTATCGTAGGACGCGAGGTGATCTTATACTGGCATTTCGTATCTTTAATTATGATCTGGGTGTTAATATGTCTTATCTTTTTGCTCCCTCCAGCACTAATAATCTACGGGGTCATAGCAAGAAGGTTCTGAAACCGCGATCTAATAAACTAAAGGTGGGGTCCCGTTTTTCTCATCGAGTGGTCAATAATTGGAACGCTTTACCAGAACAAATGGTATCAGCACCATCAGTGAACATTTTCAAAAAGAAGCTGGACCTTCACTGGAAGGAAATCTGTCAGGATTAACACAGGTTCATCAACCTACAATCCTTATTACTGAAGACTGTATACAGTGTTCGTACGCCCTAAACTTTAGTCCTGCATACAAGCAGCTAACCCCTGCCTAAAAGAAGACAGTCAACTCTTGGAAAGGGTTCAGAGAACAGCAACTAGGCTGATTACCGGAATAGCGAAGCTCCCGTATGGTACTAGACTGACCAAGATAAACCTATTTCCGCTGTCATATCGAAGAATCAGAGGCGACTTGATTACAGTTTTCAAATTGCTTAATGACAAATTTGCACCTGATATGCCCTCATTTTTATTGTCTTCCAAGACAGAAAGTCTACGAGGACACTCCAAAAAAATTCACAAGCCCAGAACGAATTACTTGTCAGCTGACCACCGACTTTCCCATCGAATAATCAACGAGTGGAATTCATTACCTCAGCACGTGGTTGAGGCTCCATCGGTCGACTGTTTCGAAAGAAAGTTGGATCAGCTGAGAGACCATCATTGCCAGGACTAACACAGGCCATCAAACCTCCTGTCCTTTCCAAACTGAAACTGAAATTGTAAATGACTAAGTACTGTATCTTTCTATGATTTACCAACTCTTATTTCTTTTTTCTCTTTTATTGTTAATGTACCTACATTCTGACCCGGAGACATCGATGATCCACTACCACTAGATACAGAAGTCCGTTGAGCGAAAGCTTCTTCTATTACATCCAGAACAATTTAAACCATCTGAAACTGATTTCGTCCACTTCAGCGCGGAAAATTGATTCTTAAGACTACGCTTTTGGACTTAAGTGGGTTTTTTAATGGTCTTCGTTGTGTAGTGATTTTCGTCTGTTTTCTTGTTTGTGGGTTGTTTATGTATGACCATATTATCACTTAATGCTGTTACTGACCTAGTTTGTCAACTACATATTCTGGTTCCTCATATATGGGATACATCTAGGTAAATGTGCGTATCTGATCTCAGTCATTTTTTCTCATCGGAATACACATGCAAACAAATAGGCTTAGGTACTGAAGTGTAAAGTCGTGAGCCTGTGAAATCCTCTAGGCTGGGTCTGCTGTACATGTCAACCAGAAATGTGGGACTATATCATACCGAAACTCGTTTTACAACAACAGAGTAGCTAAGCTAAAAGTTTAGGTTTAGCCGTATTCATTTTAGTACAAGCAGTTGCACTTTCTATTTTTTTGTTCGGCTATTGTAGCTTCATGGGCAGGACTAGTCTGCGAAGCGTGGAGGCAGGTGCATTAGAAGCACGGGTTTGCGCAGTTTATGTCTGACTTGTTTGAGCCCGCCCTTGATTATCTGTACCATACTTTTGCTGACTGGGTTGAAATTTTTGGAACTTTTGCCACTGTGTTTTATTCGATGAAATTCTTCAAACTAGGTCTTGATGCTTCTATACGATGTCATAGCTTTAGAAACTACCTAAATTTGAAAAAATACGGTGCTTGTCATGCCGTTATAAACATCACTAATTTCAAAGCATAGTCTTGCCTAATAATAATCAGTAGGTCACCGAGTCTGATCGATGGGTGCTTTGATAATGTAGATATTTATATCTACGTTTAATTATAATGCCTAATCATACCTTTATCCATGTTCATATGAACTTAAGTTCAGACATCTGTCTGTATGGTACATCAGCTTTTGTTGGCCATTATTAGTAGTCTATTTTTATCTTGTAGTTCTGGGCTTTCATTTATCTTGTCTTCAATAAACATGTACATAGGAGTTCCAGTCGGTAGTAGCATTTAAAAAGTTGAGCTCAATACAGGAAGGGGTAGGATTAAATAATACTGCCAACTTTTGAGTGAATCTTAAATGACCTTGAGAAATATTAGCCAATCAGAAGACAGTATACAGTAAAAATATATTATACTAAACCAAAGAATTAAAGTGGAAACACTTCTTTTACATGGGTCGAAAACTTTTCAAGGTCAGACATAGGTTCAGAAGTTCTAAAATCATAGTGCATACGGTGCAGGAACCCATCCATATGGCTCCATAGTAGTCGACCTCTGAAACCATGATAAGGTCTCAAAAATTCTTTCAGCCTCGACCACATAGCTTCAATAATGTTAGTATATTGGTATGGTTTACGGGTTAGGGTTAGATTTAAGGTTTAGGTGTAGGGTTTAGGGTTATGGGTGAGACTATAAGATATGGACAACCTTTGAGCGACGCTAGAGTGACTCTGAGAGTGTCAACATAATAACTAAGACTAAATGAGGGTTATAAACCTGTGTGAAGAATTCAAATTATGATTTACAGTTCATGATTAAGGCTAGGAATTATACACTAACTGACATCAGCTATAATGACGAAACTCTATCCAAATGGATAATTGAATTTTGCGCCAAAATCTTATGATCACTTCTATTGTAGACGCTAAATTATCACGTGTTCCCTAAAATCCCCTGTAAACCGACCGTACGTAAGCATCAGGTACCGAACTTAGCACCGTGACCTTGAAAACCCGCGAAAGCTTCTGATTGGCTTGGCAGTATACTTTAATCCTACCCAGGAAGGATAAAAGTTGGGTATATCTGCGTCCCGGTGACCGATTATGGACCATGGGTCCAATTTCTGATATCTTGAACGCCAACTAGTTAGCTTTCATTTATGAACACGATTCAATTCAGCAGTCATTGAATTTGTGAACTGATGCCATATCTTGGTTTGGCCTTCTTAGTTATCTTTTTACTTTTTTCTAGTTCAGCCTCCATCGCTTGTAAAATTCGGTGTTGTAGCCACTTCGATCGATGCAGATTCATGACCCTACCAATAAATTTATCATCTTTTCTTACTACCTTACCTGTGACCTCATCATTACTAGTGAGGTTATAATTAATGGACGACCTTTGAGCAATTCTAAACTGACATGGAATACGTCCGCCTACTTGTCAGGACTAAATGAGGGTTATAAATGAGTGCAAAGAATTAGGATTTACGGTTAGACGTTAGGGTTAGGAATTAGAGTTTAAGTTTTCATCATGAACTGACACCATCTATAGTGCTAAAATGCTATTTAACCATATGGATGAGTTTCGCACCGAAATTCAGGATGTGCTACCTTTAATTTCTTTCGTTTATCCTTAAATTATAATCTGGTTGCTCACTCCTTTGTTCCACCATGCGCAAGCAATATTTAAAGGACACCTATGATTGAAATCTTCAGCTTACGCATGTCCTCTTTTTATAGACCATGCTTCACAAAAAGAGTAATACGAAATCAAGATTACTTTCTGTTTTTTTATACTTTCTCCATTACATTAGGATTTCTTAAAGTGATTGTTAATTTGGCAAAAGCGAATTTCTGCGAAATTCATTCGTGTGTAAAATTATGCCAGAATCTCTACCGTTAGAGAATAGCTATCCTAGTACTGTCAAGCTTAAATACAAAAAGCTATCCTATCAAGCGACAACTCCTACTCGTGGATCTCTCTTTGCCGCTGGTTACGATCTTTACGCTGCTCATGAAGCTACCATACCTCCTGGGGGTCGTGAATTAATTAAAACTGACATACAGGTGATATATATATAAACATTTTCAAGAATCATTCTGTTATATAAAATTTGTCATGGATAAGTATGTTCATTAAAACTAAATATGCAAATGTACAGATTCTAATTTCATACTGAAGCTCAAACAGAGTTTGTGACCACAATCCCCCCACCTTCGAATATGTATCCAATAAGCACCAGTTCATATGCTAATCTGGACCACCTGTACTAAGTAGAGAAAACTGTCTACCAAGACCCGTGATGTGGCTTAAAGTCACTCAGTGTAAAATTTTCGGTAACTTAGAATATAGAAGTTCGTACTCAATAGGAAGTTTAGTACTAAAGGATCTAGTTGTTGAAGTAAGCAACATCCACTAAACTTACAAGTAAAGTTTAAGGCATCAGAAAGTAAAGTTATTGCTATCTCACTACTTTCCGACACAGGTTTTTACTAATCACTCTGACTGGGGGCATTTTTAAGGGAGTTAGAGACAAATATTCAATCTGACTTTAGTTTCAGCCATTACTTATCACCTTATGCATTGAATCTCACTGACTAGTTATTCTGGTAGTGTATATTCAGAAGACCAGGGACAACGTGCAAGAAATGGAGCTGTGGCTTAGTGATTAAGGCGTTCAAACTTCAGCCACCTAGTATCAGATTTAAACTCTACCGGACTTCGGTTCTGGCCATCGAGGAGTATTATTAACCCTCACACTTGGAATACTACTCATATCCGCTTACCTGGTGTCGAAGCTAATCTTTATTATTTCAAGTCAAGACTAGTTTGAAGCGTTTACACAACAACGAATTATACAAAGGAGTTATTCACTCCATTCTCGTCTGTCTACTTTGACCAAAACTTCAGGATGTTCCTTATCCAGACTGCACCTACCGATTGTGCTTTGAAAGAATGTTTTCTATTACCCCAACGTTTAGTTCCCAGAATATTACAACTTTAATGGAGTTATAAATTGCAAATATTGATCAGAAAGTAATAATATACGGAAGAAATTTGATTACTATCTATCCGGCTTTAATGACTTTTGAGTATTATCAATCAGTATTAGTAACAGGCATAGCTTTAAAGCATATCTCCAAGTGGATCATTTCCACCAAGATACAAAATCACAAATCAGGACAAATTTCTCAAATTTTTACGACTGTTGACCTCAAACTAACAATCTACTTCACCGTATTATGCGTGCATTCAATGTTCTTGAAAATCATTGCTTTGTTGCTGAATCAAATTTCTGCGGAATGTTCAGATTCTAACTTCGTGTATGACCATGCATTATATATATATATATGCCCCCAAATGCACTGGTACGGCCGAGAGTGGGAAGAGTCCGCTCTCCCTCTCGAAATGCTCTCACATGGCCACACGTATATAGCCTCTGTCAGGGAAGTCCTACTCACTGCCTTCTCGTGGCATCACTTGTTTACGAAATTGAGAGGACGAAAAGCGAATGTCCGGCGCTTTAACCAGGTTGGTGGACACGGAAAGTTCACCTAGGGGAGTTGGAAAACCCTGATTCCAAACCAATGATGCACATGGGCTTCAGTACCCTGAGGGAACAAATGGCGTATCAATCAATCGTTGGTCACAGGCTACCATGGGAATGCATCTCCTCACGATGCTCCACTGCTTTGTGGATCAGATCTTTAGGTCACTGGCTCCGTGTGTGGTCCCCTAAGAAAACCACCTGCTTCAGTTTGGGCACCTGGGCAGTATCACAGCCCTCACACAAATCAAATGAGATTTGTGGGGCGCATATGTATCTGGTGCTTCTTTGTACCAATATTTGTGTTTAAATAAATAAATATATATATCGTAGACATTCTACACGCGATTTACTGACAATCTGAAAGCTTCTATACATTTTATCTCTCATTTTCGTGGTCATTTATTATTAAACAGATTGAATTGCCGGAAGGCTGTTATGGTCGCGTCGCTCCACGAAGCGGACTAGCCTTAAAACAGGGGATTGATGTTGGTGCTGGTGTTATTGACCGCGACTATAGGGGCAATGTTGGCGTAGTACTTTTCAACTTTGGAGAACAAAAATTTGAAGTAAGTTCATCGTTGCTCATCATTTTCACTGCTGAAACTTGTTGTTTAACTACTCCCCAATGTGATTTCTCACAGACGTTAAGCTATGAAAAAAACATGCATTCTTTTTTACTTATATGGACTTGTCTCCTCGTTTTTAGTAGGTCATAAGGTTTTATTCACAATCTTAACTGACTCTCCTATGGCATCAAAACATGGTCTTATTTAGAAAACATTCAAAAACTCCCATATACAGGAAACTAGTCTGACCATTTGTTATGTTATCATGATATATATATATATATATATATATATATATATATATATATATATATATATATATATATAAATTTTTTTTAATTACATCCTATTTCTAATAATGTATCTTGATCATTAGGCAATGGTGTATTCGCTTTTAGGTGACTAATATGTCTTAGTATGTCAGGTGACCTAACCTACAGTGCCTCATTCTTCAGGTTAGTATTAGTGCCATTTTTTTCCCATAACCATGAACATATTGGCTACGGTTTTTAATGTGTGGGCGAGGAAAATAGTGACTGGTTTCTTACCTATTCAGACTAGTAGATAGTGTGACAGGTTTTATTTATTTATTTAAACACAAATATTGGTACAAGGAGGCACCAAATAGATATGAGCCACGTAAATCATTCGATTTATGTGAGGGCTGGGATACTGCCCGGGTGTTCAGACCGAAACAGGTGGTTTTCTTAGGTGGCCACACCCGGAGCCTTCAACCTAAAGGTCTAATCGACAAGGCAGTGGAGCAACGTTAGGAGATGCGGTCTCATGGTAGCCGGTGACCAACAATTGTTTCTTTTAGGGTCCTGGAGCCCATGTGCACTACTGGTTTGGAATCAGGGTTTTCCAATTCCGCTAGATGAATTCTCTATATCCTTCAACCCGGTTAAAGCACCGGACATTTGCTTTCTGTCCTCTCAATTTTGTAAACAACAGTAATGTCGCGAGAAAACAGTTAGTAGGACTTCCCTGGAAGCAGTTGTATGCACGTGGCCGTTTGAAAGCATCTCAAAAGAGGGAGCGGACTCTCCTTACTCTTGGCCGTACCAGGGCGTTTGGGGGCAGTCTGACAATATCCGATGTGTTATTTATTTTCCTACCCCTTGTTATTGTCGGACGTTGACGTTGAAATATACTCAAGACCTAGTCAAGCCGGTCATGTGTTCTTGATCCGAGTTGCGTTGATATCCCGTAGAATAGACACTGGCAGGGTATCTAGTGCAGATATTCGTCTAAGGCAAATTAATATCCCATTGGTATAAAGGAGAAAACCTAGCGTTATTTTAATTTTACTTGCCTGTAAGTAGCTAGCAGTGGAGTTTAGCCTTACCAGATGGTTTGTGACTGCGAATTCTCATCAGCAACTGGGAATCCAACATTTATTTTATTCACTGACGGCCGAAAAGCATGACTAATGGACAACTTAACTGAGGCTCAATGGTCACTAAAAAGTCTTTACCTTTTGTCCCGACCGTTGCTGCTACCTTGACGTGGTGGTCGGGCTTGCCTGTCGTGATGAACCATTCGAGATATACTGGCTAAAACAATCGTTCCTCAAGGTCCTACCATGTCAGACAGGCCGATTGAAGAGCGGTAAGACTAAAAGCAGCAAACCCCATGGTCCGAAGGCGAAGTCATACTACTGACTGTACAGAGGTGTGACGGCAGTAACGTGTTTCCTTCAGACAACCAGCATAAGAGCGATGCTGCCTTCACACAAGGATGGATGGGGTTGGAGAAAGTCGACCCTAAAAATGCACACCTCGCCTTATCCGTCTCCGGTGGTAAGGTCTCAATAAGTACGGAGCTAACACAAAAATTAATCACAGAAAGGTCATGTGTGACCGACCTCAAGCAGTTGTCGCATGGGCACTGCGGTCACGCTTCCAGGTCACTAAGACCAACTCTAACCTAGTTTCTCTTTCAGGCAGCTATAGAGGAACCATTCCACGGTGTGAGCAACCGGGAAGTGATAACTGCCCTCATACCTCTAACAGCACTCAAGATCACTGTACTCATAATCAATCTCCTGCTTCAATTTCTATTATTCCTCCTACATCGACTTTCAACACTAAACTTCCTCGTTCGGCTTCCTTCCCAAGTGTCACCATGGCCAACGATTCTTGTGCGCGAAGCACTGTCCCAGGTATACTAAAACCTCGCTTCAAACTGCACATTGGAGCCATCAACGTACGCACCCTATGTCAAATAGGTCAACAGGCTTGACTTCATCTCGCCAAAATGGAAAGCCGATGTGGATAGCCTCCGTGTATCTGGCGACCCGATGGCTAGTTCTCGTGGACTGGCAGGTGTAGACATAGCGCCAAGTATGAGGGCAGAACAAACACTATTAGAATGTATCCCCGTTAACAGTCGCCTATGTGCTGTACGGCTAAACAGCTTTGCAAAAACTTGGAAGGATAGGGATACACGTCGTTTCCTTTCTCCCTACGCTCCCACTGACTGCAGCCCGGATGAAGTGAGAGACGACTTTTACAGAAAGCTCTCTGAAATTCATAAAGCTAAACGCTCAGACATAGTACTCGTTGCAGGTGACTTTAACGCAGAAGTAGGTAGCTCAAACCAAACACGAAGACATTTTGTTGGGTATTTTAGTATTCCGGCTCAGCGAACAGATAATGGTGATCGTCTATTGCAACTATGCTCAGACAATCGTTTATTTTTAGCAAACACTAATTTTAAGCATGAGGAGAGACATCGTCTAACATAGCGACCACCTGCACCAAACCAACGATGGACTCAAATAGACCATATTGCCATCATTCATCGTTGGGGAGACAAGATGCAGAGTCTTCTGCGTCAACACCTAAACTAAGGATAGAGAGCGAAGTAGTCGAACGCGTCGAAAACTTCACTTATCTCGGAAGTCTGATCAGCTCTAATGTGTTGGTGTCTGATGAAATCTCAGCACGGATTCAAAAAGCTTGTTTGACTTTTGCCAACTTACGTCACCTATGGCGACTGCGAGATATCCGTCTATCACTTGAGCGACGAGTATACTGCTCAGCAATTCGTTCTGTCGTACTTTACGGCTGCGAAACGTGACCATTAAGAGTAGAAGATACTCGGAATTTACTAGTATTTGATCACATATATCTTAGAAATATTGCTCGCATCTACTGGGATCACCAGGTAAGCAATAGTGAGGTTAGACGCAGGATATTAGGCGATGATGGTAAGTCAGTTGGTGAGGTTGTGAATTTTCATTGACTGAGGTGGTTGGGATAAGTGTTACGTATGCCTGAACACCACCGATTACCGTGGCGCACAATGCTGACTAGTGTTGGAGACGGTTGGAAGAGAGTTAGGGGCAGCCGAACCAAAACATTGCATCCGTCCATAAAATCACCAACTTGTGATGTGAACCATGTTGGTAGATGCAGACTACTTGGTTGGAGTCCTCGCGGTTATCGTAACCATTGTTTGGAGACTGAGTAATATGGCTCAGAATGGATTACAATGGTGTGGATGTGTACACCCTTTGTCTTTCCTTAAACAGTGAGATTGAAATTGCTTCATATCTGTCTTTCTTCCTATAGTATATCCTTATATACAATCTTTCTTTTATATATTAATATCATTAAAATAACTACTTTTATGAATTCGGCGTTCATCTTGTGCATATGAGGTATGGCAACCTGGACCAATGCACACATGTGCCTTGTCCTACGTTGTAGCTGACTGACTGACTTCACCTTTTGAGAATAGTACGTTCACTTAACTAGATGCTTTTTTGAAGAAATGGCTATACTACTACGTACGATATATATATGCTGTGGTATATAGCATCTCACGTATTATAAAGTAAGACTTATGGGAATCTGGTTTTTCACGTTAATAGGAAAATACGTGATGTATAAAAGTACTATGTAGCAGTTAGGCTGACCTTCCACAAAGTTAATGAGTACTGGTATGAGTTGTGATTTTGGCTATCATAATGTTGCCACATACGAAACTACTTTCATACTGGTTAACTTTATCAGTTGTAAATTTTGTATTTTGTTCCTTCGTAATATTATTCGACCAAAAATATGTACGGTCCTTTTGATTTATGAGTGTTTCTTTGTATTCAAATTCAGAAAGATCGTGCCTGGTATTCACAGGCTTACAAAACGATTACTTTACTCATTTCAGATCAGAAAGGGTGACCGTGTAGCACAACTGATTTGTGAACGTATTTTCTGTCCTGAACTGATGGAATGTGAATCGTTGGCGGAGACGGATCGTGGTTCAAATGGTTATGGCTCAACTGGAGTGTAGAACATAGTAATTTTATCAGAATCAAAATATTGTTTACAATAAATATATGAGAAATATAGTCCGTGTCTATTTATGCCTGCTAATAACCTTTAAAAAATTAACTGACCATTTAATGTTAAGTTGAATTGGTGACTTTTGTTACACTTTTTAACGTGAACTGGTCATCCCACCTACGTTTACAAAGCTACATACTTCTTCCATTTAGGTTTAAGAAGCGGTGGTGACCAATTTTTCGTTGGTTGTTTGTTGGTACTTGAATTTTGCACACACGTTCCTCTTCCAAATTATTAAAGACGATCCTTTAGCACGTAATAATCATGATACGTAATAGCATGTTGGAAAATGTTAACTCCCTTTTTTAATCAATTATGAACTTGAGTTACGAACATACAAATCCATTCTATTGATAGCATTGGGTTGGATTTGAGATCCTTTTGATATAACTTAAGTACGTGAATCATTCACTTCAAGGTATTCAACAGAATTGTTGACGAAGCGTCTTTGTTAATTCTGTACAGTGGAAAAAGCAGAATTAGGAGATGATGTAGATATATTTAGAGTGCCACGTGTTGGAAGTCTATTTCTCATCGTGATTATTTTGCATGAAAAGTCACTCAGACTTGAAGTAGTTAATTACAACCTCATTTAGTCATGCATAAACCAAATTCATATTTTTGAGTATTGTATAAACTCTCATGCTTTCGGTAGAGTTTTCTCCTACGTTACTAATGAAACAGACAGTAGTTTACCAGATGTCTAATAAAACTTCCCAACTTGTGGACTTTCCATTGGACTTGCTCATAATCCTCTAAATTTGTTGCATTCAGGCACCTGAATTTCTATTGACGTGGTCGAGTTTTGCGACTTATGTGGTACCATATTTCAAACTGGTATTTTTTTATGTGTGAAGATTAACACCACCCAACCCAAGTTAAACAAATCGGCTTCAGACCTGACCGTGACTGAACTGGTCAAGCCGTCACTCTTCGACAGGTTTTTAAAGCAGCAATACATACTGGCATCCGATTTTACAAAACCCTTTGACATAAAGGAAGCATTCTACTCCATTGACCGGGAGCTTTCATAATACTGAAAGGTGTACCGACAGACATAAAAGCCTTTCACACGAACACTGCTGGCCATCTGGTTTGGGAACTTCAAATGATGTTCATTTAGACTGCACGCTTCCCTGCAAAATATACTTCCTAACTTTCTAGTAATTTATCTCTTGACTGTAAACATATGTTGACGTTAAATACTTCCTGCCACAAGCAGGAAGGAACGTACAAGAAATCTACACTAAGCACCTTAAGCGGCACTTCAAGAATGTTTACAATGTTAAACGTTACTCCAGAACTGATCTGTGCCAATATCTAATGTGTTCTTGACTCGAAGTAATTGTGTTGATTACTTGATTTATCTTACATGTCTTATTAATTTTATTTGCACCCGTTGTCTGTTTTCAGTCCTACTCTGAGGAAACCCCTCCCCTCGGATGTGACACTATTTGTTTTATTCTGAAAGGTTCACTAGTTTTCTGATTATCCGTTAGATTCACAATGATTAATGCAGCCAAGTGACCGGTCTAACCTCATCAGCACCATCCTATAACATCAAAACGCAAATAAGCAACTCGTTTTATATATTCTTATTATTAAGATATTAGACAATGCGGTTTTAACACTGCCGCCACTGATCGCACTAACAACTTAAAGGACCCAGCGATAATTGTGAGTTTAAAATTGAAACTAAGGTATATCACTTTATACGAATAGTTTGACAAAATTAGGCGCCGAGAATATGGAAGACACTATTTATGTAGAATTACATTGGAAATAATCTAAGCGATTGAAATTCAACTAACTCCAACATTTCATCTAGAAAACTTGTTTTGACTTCTTCGGAGTAATAATTAAACATACCAAAGAATTTACATCGTTTAACAATCAAATCTACACTCAACGCTTATCCAGTCCTATTCAGAAATTGGCTTCAGTAAGAAAGATAACAAGAGGTATTAGAATGTGAAAATAAATGAAAGGATGCGTGATTTTATGTCGTTAACAGCTGATATTCGGCGAATGAATGCGAATCACTTGTTTATTAAAAGTAAAAATAGAAGTGTAAATTGAGAATGCTTTCAAGATGTCAGTGTGTATGTAAACTAAGAATCATCAGATACATAGTTGTTATGTCAAAATATTAAAACTGATTCCTGTTGAAACAAAGCAACATGTAATGTAAACAGGGTAGATATAGATAAGGTTCAACTACTTATGAATAATGATTTGCCAAGCGGCAACCAGTTGAATATCATCTTTTCCGTCCTGACAAGCCCATATATACAGCACTTCATCGTTGTTGGAAGTAGAAACTTCAGAAATAGCTTTTCAGCACAGAGGAGTTGGGATTTGTATCACTTGTTACAACATTGCGGAATTTGGAGTCATTCCACAGTCACTACAGATACGCAAGGTTGTTTCATCCTTCATAAGTAGTCACAATTGGATCTGTTCAAAATGCATCTGGTGACTGTCAAATGTAATACTTCAATACTTTTGGTTAATTTGTTCTCAGTTGTATGACTAATTTGGGTGGTTTATATGTGAACCCTTCTAATACGCATTTGTTTAGTTGTTTATCTGTTGGTCATACTTCAACACTATGTTTGATCTATAAGTATTTGATACTTGTCAAATAAGGGTCACTAGACAGTTTGGACTCATTTCAACACAATGTAGATTGGGAAAACCCAGATTCCAGACCAATGGTGCATGTAGGCTCCAGTATCCTGAGGGGACAAAAGGCGTATGAACCAATTGTTGGTCACCGGCTACCATAGGATTGCATCTCCTGACGTTGCTCTACTACCTTTTGGGTCAAACCTTTAGGTCAGAGGCCTGGGGTGTGGCCCCCTAGGAGAACCACCTGCTTCGGTCTTAGAACCCGGGCAGTATAATAGCCCTTACACAATTAAAATGAAATGACAACTTTCTATGTGGCATATACATATCTGTTGCCACCTTGTACCAATGTTTATGTGTTTAAATAAGTAAATAAACAATGTAGATTGGTTCTATCTAATGTAAACCTGAATTTGTTTGATTCTAATATAATTTCTGGTGCCAGTGTTGATATACATCCGATCAAGTTGCGAAAAGGTCTAATTCTTGTACTAATGAGGTACTACTATTATTTCAGTCCACTGGTATCCATTCAGTCTAGTAGCATTTTGATTCTGTTTATTACTAATGAGTATCCCAATTAACTCAATTACATATACATTTGTGAATATTCGTATTTAAGTTCTTACCTATCCTATTTTTACTTGGTCACTAAGTTGAGTACAATGAATGTTCTACTGTTTACGTCTATTTTACATAGAAACGACCGAGCATATGCTTTTTAACCTTTTGAAATAACATGATTTTTAGAGGACTGAGACATCCTCCCTTTGAAAGGCATACGAAGGGTAACATGACAATGAGGAGCGACGAAACTGATAACAAGCTATCTCAAATCTGGCAATTTGATAATGTCAGTACGTCGTTAGTTTGGAAGAAAGCAAAGTGTGCAAATCCATTAACGTATATGACCAAGCGTAAAAATGAGAGGAACTGCTAATCAAACAAGTGAATGAATACAAAGAGCGTCCCATGTGAGTGCATTATCGATTGATGACAGAGATGCTCGACAGTGCACCTTATGCTAGTTGCATTCGTCTGTGACGTGGTCAGCGTCAAATGTTCGAAATCTTCCGGGCACCACTGACGTACCGCCATAATATGACTAATCCTCCAAGTGCTCTGAGCGCCTCTTGGTTTGCTCGCAGAGAATTGTATCTGTTCAGATATTGTAATCCAGTGGTGTTCATTACCAAGACTCAGGACACACCCTATACGTATTGACAGCACTGCTAGAAATTCTCTGGAAATTAGTGACAAGAACATGCTTTTTATAATTATTAGTCCTAAAATGGCTTCACTTCTCGTTATCAAAAACCTGGCGAGATGCCCCACCACTCCAATACATCTCAACTTTTAATATGCATTTGGCACACATTTATGTAGTATATAGGAACTAATGGCTTCCGGACTGGTGTGGTGAGTTATCTCATCGCAGGGCATGAATCGCGACGACCTATATAGGAATTAATTTTTGTAACTATTTGTTTTTAAACGACAATTTGCCAGATAACTATTCTGTACAGTCAAAAATGTCAATCTTTATCCTGTCGGTTGGAGCCAGTAGTATGGCACAAAAGAAGTAACACTCCAACTTAGAACGAAGAGTTCTTTCATGAACTTACTATGCAGCAATACCGAGTAAACATAATAGGAAGTGGAACCGCTGTCGATCCAAATCCTACATTCGATAGCCCCCAAAATGATATCACTCTTAGCGCATCTCAAGCTCCATATCCCTTGCTTTTCTAAGAAACTGAATAATGCTCTACATGGAAGAGTAATGACTACTTCGTAGTTTTTGCCGTAGTAATGTGATCGTATCACTAGTTAACCGTAACGCTTAGAAGTCATGTCTAGTTGCGATAAGAAATTATTTAGCTCGACGTCATTGCATGTCGACTCCTGTTATCTATCTACCATGCTATTGAAAATCCCATTCGCATTTATGCGTGTTCACAGTTGTATAGCGTGGTGTAACGGTGTTGAGACTAGGTTTTTGGCAGCGAAGAAACACTTAAGCTGGGAATATTGATGTACACTCTTTAGTCAGTAGGTTAACGATTGGGATGCTTTTTAAGTATCAGAATACTTTCTTCATAACGTGTCCTCGGTATTTACAACTATAGTTTATATACCTCCACTCCTGTATTTGACTGTTGCATTCATTTTTCTCAAAGACTAGTGAGTTGAATAAAAACCGGAATAACAACTTTCCTTTATGTGTGGAAATTAAACATATAATTTGACCTGTCACAATCGCTATAGAGTGGATCTTAGACTCATGGATTGGAATGACCTCTGAACAACTCCCTCGATATGTGAAGATATTCAGTCGGATAAACGTTCAACCAATAACCTACTGTCAACAACAGCCCACTAGTGTAACGCTAATCTTACTGTGTAGCATTAGTTATTTCAAACTGGGGCACCAAGTATAGCCATCCCTCTAATTATGAAGTTCAGTTAGGACTTTTGTTAGTGAACAAAATTTATTAAGTGGAAGCATTGAGTGGTAAGAAAAACTGGAATGAGTTATAATATATCGATTAACTCCACATCAAATTTCAGTGTAGCATTTGGAGGGATAACTTTGTCGACCCCCTTGGAACCATATGCGTAGTCTGGAGTACATGTAAGGTAGGCACGCTCTCCCACACTCATTTGAATAACACCTTCATCCCAACCTCGAATTACCTATAAGGATGAAATTCAAAAACAGTACTAGTGTTTACTTTCCCCGTCCCAATTACAAACTCGAATGGTTTATTTCTGTCACGGGAACTATCAAACTTTTTCCCATCCATGAGCGTACCAGTGTAATGAACAACGACTCTCTGACCTTTCTTTGGAATTCGTTTACCATCCCCTGGCTTGTAGGTATCAACGGTAACGCCCATGCCGATGACTGTTAATCCACAGTGGTGATTAATCTATGCGTGAAGGTCATGTGACATCACGTTCAATCTCTTCAATAACAGAATTTCTTATATAACCTGATATTTTATGGTTGTTGCGATTTTACTTTGGACTTGACTTGTTTTCGCCCTTTGTATGGTAAACCTCGGAGCTCTGGAATTGCACGGGTAGCCAACCGCTATTCGAACCGTAAGTTTAGTCCTAACGTGATTTACATTTCTCAAACTTTTGCTGTGTTCTTACGCAACAAAAGTATCATTTCCAATCCAAAGAATCTATTCTGAGCTATACGTTCGGTAGATTACTTCTTTTTTGTGTTTCACTCAAATTAATAGTTAACTGTGGTTTTGCCTCAGCTCACTATCGGTTTTTTTTATAGTTTTCACGTAAAGGCTAGCTTTAGCTTATAGTTAACTGTTTTTATACATTTTTGATAGTTTTTGTTTACTGTGTGTTTTTTTAACGGTCCTAAATTTACTGCTTATATTTTTAAGACAGTCTAAATCACTAGCCATGAAAAATTCATGCAAGAGACCTGGTTGCCGTTTTGCCGTTACATCTGGCATGCAATGCGACAACTGTAAAGGTTGGTTCCATGAGGCATGTACAGATCTAACAGCAGCAGCCTATAGCAGACTCAGCAAGTCTGATCGTAGGTGGGTATGTGTTACCTGCAACACCGATACGGTAGTTATGTTGGGTACTATCATTACTTTACTGACAGGTCTGAGAGATAAGTTGTCTAAGAATTCGGTAAATGATATCATCATGACAGGTAACAAAGCTGGAACGCATAGGGCAAATAAGAAAAAGGATACTGACAGGTCGGTTATCGACGGTGCTGTTAACAGCACGAGTGATGATGTGCTGAAACTCAGCGCCATCTTAACATCGACTGTCATCGACTCCCTCAGTAAACTTGGGTCCCCCGGGGAACGGTCCTTGAATGAGACAGTGGTTCCTAAAAATCCTGTAGGTGGATGGTCTCACGTTAACAGGAGTAATGAAGCCCAAGCGTCCCCTCCGAAACTGAACGTCCCAAGTATCGTGCGGAAATCAATTGATGCTTTGGCCGCACAGTCTACACCCAAGACTGTCCGCCCGGTCATCACTGAGCCCAGGAATCGAAATCGCGCCTCGACATCCAAACAACAAGATACCAAACCTAGACACCCTGGAAAACCTGGGGAACCAATTACGGTTCGTGACGACTCTGTCATAATCATGAACCTTATTGACAACCCCGACCTTCCTCTCAGTTTGCAGGACAAAAACGATAGGATGCTCTGGGGAGAATTAATCAAGAGGCTTGAACTCCCTAGAATAGAGCCTTTGACCGTCACACGGCTCACTCGGGGGAAGGACTCTATCCACCAAAACCACCCGAGTCTGCTTCGTGTTACACTTAAGAATGCCTCCGACGTAGAGGACGTCCTGCAACCAGTCACTTACTGAGGTCCGATGGGAACGTAAGAATACTGCCCGACATACCGTATTCTGAACGAAATCTCATCCGGAACATCCCTAAGGAATCTCGCGAGGCGTTTTTCCGTGGACGAAATATCATTGTGCAAGGTGTGCCGGAAAATATGGACCCAGCTCAAGCAAACTCTGATATTCGGGAATGGAAATTCATCAAGCATTCCTTAAAACTCAAGAACATATTGACCCAACAGGTAATGAGACTGGCCAAGAGAGACGGAGACTCTAGGCCCCGGCTGCTGAAGATAACGCGCGGATACGAAGGGGTCGTTACTTTTTGGCCGTGGTCTGCATTTTTTCTTTTTTCTAGGATTCTCACTGAGCTGGATGGATTATCTTTCCTTGGAATTACGGAAGACAACTCAATTCTGATCTGTTCACGTTTAAGCTGAAAATTTTATGCCATACGATAAGATCTTAATTTTAACTTATTGGTAGTATATATGATCATATTCATACAATAACTCATAATCAAATAATTGTATATTCATTTTGGCTATACGATATAACCTTCCTCTGTCATTCCAAAGACCGTATATAATCATATTCGGCGAGGAATATAATTTCATATTTGTATTCTATTCATTATATCGTGTTTGTATGCTACAACACACGTACTTTATGTATTTACAGGATCTATTCGGATCTCTACCCAATATCTAGAAATATACATAATCGTGTATGACAAAGCACTGTACTCATTATTCCACATACTTTCATTAAAATCGTATTTGGATAATATAACTCACTTAATTTCTGGAATCACCAGTCCAATTCGGTGAGTCTGTCATACGTTAATTTATTTATTTTTTATGACAGTATATTTTGTCACCACTAATACCTTCCTGCTATTCTTATCCATTGTTTTTCTACACTTTCACCGATCCTCTCGATACATCCACCCTTGTGTTAACCATAGGTTTTGATTAGACTTCAGTCCTCGGCATTGATTTTTTCTTTCTTTCATCTCTATTTCCAATATTTTGTTCAATCCGCCTGCTATACGTCACTTTTTTATCATGCAACAAAAGAAAATAAAGGCCCCTGCTTGTAGGCGTCCAGCCAAACGTAGGAAAACTACGCAATCTAAAATCGCTACTGACAGTTTCAATGAGACAAGATGCTCCGTTCATCCGGAAGCAGACAAGCTTTTACCAGTTGTTTCCATTCCAGACATGTTGAAGACTCTGTTGGTAAATAATGATGAAAATCACAACTGTAACCATACGAATGATATAAAAAGGCTGCAAGTTGACATGAACATTCTCAATCCGCTCAAGTATCTCATCAACCCTAATCTCACAGAGACTCCAGATCAAATGAATGACATCAATAACTTCTTAGATCGTGTTGCATCAGAGGTATTTGAAAGAATAAGGCGATCTAGCAATGCAATGGTGTTTAATATACCGGACTCATATGCCCTTAAAAATATCAAAACTAGTCTGCTTAGAGCTAGCAATATGACACACGTACCATGTGTATGCTCAAGGTTAAAAAGAAGTCACCCTGATATGCACCCACCGATCTTGTTCAAATTCAACTCATCTGTAGACGCTAGTGAGTTTTTAAATTCCTCCAATTCATTGAAACAGAATTTCAAAGATATTAAGATTCTACCAGATAGAACACCATGCCAACGAAAAGCAGGCCGAGACAACCACAGACTACCAGCATCAAACACCCAAGCGTATCATAATCCTAAAGGTCATAAAATTAAGTCCGATCTTAAGCGGACATCTAGCTTTGCGAATATGCAACCACCGGAAAACTCTCCTGAATCTCCTAATGTTCAAAGCACAAAAGAAAATAATCCCAATGTAGGTGATGCCCATCCTATTAAGAATGTTGACTTAGATTCTACCCTAAGTAGTTGTACTGATTTCGAATGGGATAACACAGTCCAAGTCGCTGTTAGTTCAAAAACCAGTTTTAGTGACTGTGCAACGGATAACTGGAAAACTGGTCATAAAATTTATCTGCCTGACCACACTCTAAACGTCGATATACTCGAGCCTAGCAAACCATCTCAAGCATCTTTAACAACACACGACCCCCCTCAAATTACGAAGGAGCCAAAATCAACCACAAACCTTGGAAATAAGAGTTTAGAACATGTTCCCTATACGTCAGGTATAAATAGCAATCTAAATTGTAAACGGCCACTTGGTCGCACACATAGACCTGATAGTCTTCTTGGTCCGGCTCCCAATGTTAATACTATTCCTTTACCAAATGTTATATCCAATAATAGTGAGAAGACTTTTTTTGTACTTCCGCCGGCTTTTCTGCCGGCAACAATACACATACTTCTAATGATGACAAAGTTGTTGAATCTATTTCCGATCGCAACACAACTCTCACCTTAGCCAATCCTACCAGTACTCATGTAAATACCGATTGTGATTTATACTCCAACCTGATTCACCATGGTAAATTTCAATTTCTTATTCTTTCGTTCAATTCCCGCTCTCTGCCCAATAAAATTACTCACCTCAAAACCCTTTTATTACTTGTAAACCCAACTATTGTACTTATTACGGAAACGTGGTGCAATTCATCTGTATCCGATCACTCCTTGCATATAGATAACTATGTTTTCTTTAGAACCGATAGATATAATGGATTAGGGGGCGGTACACTTATCTATGTCCGTTCGGATATTCAGGCCTTCAATTCAATCCCTTAATGCTATAGATGACTCCACCTGGGTGACTGTAAACTGTGGATCTCGGAATTATCTACTGGTGGGATGGATATACAGACCACCACATGCAGACTCTATGTTTGACAGATTACTAACAAACATCTTTTCCATTGCTTCACACCAACCGCATACTTTTAAAATCATCGGAGGTGATTTTAATCTGCCAAACATCACATGGGATTCGACTCCGGTTTCAGGCCGACATGACAAGTTAGTTGAAACGCTAGAACTATATGGATGGGTCCAACAGGTTCGACAACCGACTAGAAGGAATAATATACTTGATTTACTATTTACAATCAACATAGATTGTATCTCAGTGCATATTGGTCAGGAGTTTTTTAAGAGTGATCACAGAGTAATATTGTGTATCATTCATTCTTTCGACGCCATACAATTGAATTCTAAAGCTGGAATGATGTACAAGAGTAGACATTTTGATCAACAAACCTGGAAACGGACTGAAAGTCTTATTCGTTGTTTGCCATGGGAAACTTATTTTACCACAAATAATATTGACATTGCGATCTCTGATCTATACCACAACTTGATACACTGCCTCGACTGCACTGCTCCAATTATTAGCCATGTGGCTTATAACGCCAATAGGGGCCAGAATAATTTTAAAACTTTAAAAAGAAAACTGAGGAAATTAAAACACCGTTACCACAAGCATAATAACTTGTATACACTACAGAGTATACTTACGTTAATTGACAAGAGTGCTTCATCTAAACGCAAGTATTTTATAAATATAGAAAATAAAGCCCTAGGAAATAAGAACCCAGAATTATCAATACTTCGGCTTTTTAAATCGCGTGTGAAGTCAAATTCTCTTGGCGTAACCAAATTCTTCATAGTTAACGGAAGAATTATTGATGACCCCGATATTATTTGCGAAGAATTCAGTCAGTATTTCTCGCAGTGCTATAACACTAGAACTGAAAGCTGTATCAATACATTTCCAATGCTGACGTGCAGACACCTGTCGAAAATTGATTTTGTACCCT